AAAGCTGAGCAAAAGTTCTATAACTGAACAATGGAGCTCATTCAGACAAGCAAAGATATCGCATGCTCCCACATCGTTCAACACACAGATTTTTGCAAGAAATGTTTATTCAAACAGCCCCATCGAGCTCGGTGAAGGCGAGACCCTTAACGTGAAACGCCATCACACGAGCTCGTACTCGACTTATGAAGATGTTGCAATGGTGGAGAAATAGGCAAACACCAAAAGTTGATACGCATATGACGAGGGGGTTGGGGTGACAGAAAGTAGGGGGTAAAGGGGAGCGGGATGACACGTCGCACAGCGGCAATGTAGCCTGTTCGCTACACGACCTAAAACTGGCCACGTGCCAAGTAGAAATTAGGGGAGATAGGAGGGACGGGTTTTTTGTTCTGTACGAGGGGACAGGAGGGAAGAATCGATACTTCTCACTGCTGCTGCAGACTCATCGGTTTGGCACCGAGAAACCGGGTGGAGGAGGAACGGCGTGTGGTACGATGTGATGTGGATTTGTGCGTCCAGTGGCGTCAAGTCCATACGCTGACGGCGGCCATCTACTTCCCAATGACGTGTGCTGTGTGTGCTGTTGTTGGTGAAGATGATGAAGGTTGGTGCCATTGTGACCAGTGTCCAGATCGCTTACAAAACGCACATTCACATTTGGCAGCAGCGCTTTCAAACCTTCTTGCCACTCCGAGATGGACTGTGATGTCATTGCTGGACGTGGTGGAGGAGTCAAGCCTGGCGGTGGTGCACAGTAAGGATCGAACTGCTGCCGCTGCTGTTGATGCGCCTGATGATGCTGTTGCAGGTGATTGTGATTCGGAGTTTGATGCAACTGATGATGAAGCTGTTGCTGTTGTGATTGTTGATGGCTGCTCATCAAGCCAGCGAACATATCCAAAGGCGTCTGCGGCTGAGGTGCGTTCATAGTCGGAAACAGCGATGCAGGACGATTCCACAGATCCCGCAGCGAAAACGCCTGCTGCTGTTGTTGTTGCTGCTGCTGCATCAATAATTGGTGATTCATATATGACGCGATCCTGAAAATGAAAAATGGAAAAAATAACAATTTGAAGGCCTTTCAAAAAAAACTGCTCAACTGCAACACTTGGAATTATAAGCTTTTCAACAACAAAATTTCAGCAGAAGAAAAAAACCGTATGTAGTCTAGCCTTATTGCAAGAATGCAGGAGCGTGCAATCCAGTTTTGTGAGACCACTTAATTCCAACGTTTTAAGTTGACAGATG